TTTTATGGACGAACACAGTATTATTAGTATTGTTGATCAGGGTTGCTATGGGTGAACACTATTATCAGCATTGTTGGTCAGGGTTGCTATGGATGAACACAGTATTATCAGCAATGTTGATCAGGGTTGCTATGGGTTAACACAGTATTATCAGTATTGTTCATCAAGGTCGCTATGGATGAACACAGTTTTATAGTTGTTGATCAGGGTTGCTATGGACAAACACAGTATTATCAGTATTGTTGATCAGGGTCGCTATGGATGAACACAGTTTTATAATTGTTGATCAGGGTTGCTATGGACAAACACAGTATTATCAGTATTGTTGATCAGGGTCGCTATGGATGAACACAGTATTATCAATATTGTTGATCAGGGTTGCTATGGACAAACACAGTATTATCAATATTGTTGATCAGGGTTGCTATGCATGTTTTTCAAATTAGTAACCAAGAAAGTTAGTCATTCATTACTAGTGTTTGTGCTTACTGGAGAGTAAATGTTCTAGTTTGGGGTGTTTTTTTTACTCAACCTAGTCTCTTTTAGTTTATAATATTGTTAAATGCTGTCCTCTGTTTATGTTCTAACACTGTCCCATTTTATTATTTTTTTAGTTTTCCTTCTTTTTTTTTTTTGTTTGGTTTTATGACCCGTTTGTTTATAGAACCTAGACCGAGAGGATTCTTACCTTGTGAATGATGTAGAACTTATGGCCAACACTTTGCGGTCAGACATAGGTTTTCTTAGCTCCAACTGGCGTATGCTTGGACGTCCAACTGTATCAATAATTCTTCATCATCATCATCTGGGTAGGTCATCATTGAGCCATAATGACTGTTAATACAGAGAATGCATATTTTTTAAATCTGGAGATTTATATTTTCCAGTGAGCACAGTTCATGCATGAAATTAAAGAAACATGTTTGTCATTTCCTGAAGTTTTTAGCTTATGTTAACCAAACTTATTTATAGATATCTCATTAAAAGTAAAATTATAAAACAGGAATTTATGAGATATAAGTGCTTCTACATTTAGTTTCAAACATTTTTTATTTTATTTTCAAACAGTTATCATTATTAATACATGTTAATTTGTAATATTAAGTAAAGATTAAGCATATATCTAAGTAATATGTGAACATACATTACAGTTTTGTTTTATAGTAATTGTTTTTGTTTAATATAAAACCAAAGAACCTTTTGTACTTTAACATTTCTGTATTTTTATATTTAAACATATTCTTTGTTTACTGATCTGGTGAAGTATTTATGTCTGGTGTTTAAGTACTAGATCATCTTAAAGGTAGATTTAATTCTAGTCTTGAAGTGTTTTTAGTTGTGACATCATATTAGTTTCTGAAGCAGTTCCATCTGTTGAGGTAATTTAAAAGCTTTTTTTCAGCATTGCACAATTGTAGTCAAGAAATTTAGTTCTAGTTTGCTACAGTTTTCTTTTCTCCTGTTAAAAATTAATCTAATGTAAAAAATTTTTCACAATCATGGAAAAATAAAAGCAAATGAGAATGAAACTTGTTATTGGAGAAAAATGTCCCATTAGAATATAAATGTTTCAAATTGCTGTTCTACAAACATAATTTCTATGAAACTTTTGTGTTGATACAGAGAATGATAAAATTCCATTGGCTATGGTCTCTACCATCAAAAAACTAAAAAGTGGATACATTAATGGCACCAGGTAAGATATTATTACTAACAACAGTTGATCTGTGCTTAACTTTTAATTAAATGTTTGATATTTCTTTCAGTAACGAGATAGTGAAAAGTTATGTAAAACACTCAGAAAGGTCATACAATAAGAGCTGACATCATCGCAGAGTCCAACATGTTTCCTATTTGTACAGATGGTACACAATATATGTAAGATATAGGAATAGTACATAAAACGTATGCACACAATATGTGTTGTGAAGACACAATACAAAGAGCTAGTGAACAACTATGAGCATAGTAAATATTAAGTCATTTCTTCCTTACCATATCTTGTTAAGATTAAGTCACTTCTTCCTTACCATATCTTGTTAAGATTAAGTCACTTCTTCCTTACTTCAACACAACAATGTAGAATACCACATATCATGCGACAATTAATCATACAAAATGTACAGCAGATGGTGTTTCAATATTCTTGTGTTTAACTTAACTTTCACATTCAAATTGTCTTTTGTTTGACTTTGTTGCTAGAACATCAGTGGACATAGTTCTAGCAACAGTTGCATGGGGTTTAAGTTTGTGAAAACTTGCAAAAATATAAAATCTATTTATTTTGTTTATGGATAAAGGATGTAAGTTTTGTTAATTTACAAATTATCCCATATAAGTGTTGAATCCTTGTTAAGTTCTGTATTTCTCCAGAAAAATGTTGATGTAAGGTTATCAACTTATTGTAACTTTTACAGAGTGGCTCTGGGAACTCTTGATGAATTTCTAAGCACATCTTGCATCACAAGTTTGAGTTTTCTAGGTAATCAAGAGGAAGGTGATCCTGACAGTAAGTATGGAATAAAACTTAGGTAGTGATATGGAATACAACATAAAACATAGGTAGTGATATGGAATATAACATAAAACTTAGGTAGTGATATGGAATACAACATAAAACATAGGTAGTGATATGGAATATAACATAAAACTTAGGTAGTGATATGGAATATAACATAAAACATAGGTAGCGATATGGAATATAACATAAAACTTAGGTAGTGATATGGAATATAACATAAAACATAGGTAGTGATATGGAATATAACATAAAACATAGGTAGTGATATGGAATACAACATAAAACTTAGGTAGTGATATGGAATACAACATAAAACATAGGTAGCGATATGGAATATAACATAAAACATAGGTATTGATATGGAATATAACAAAACATAGGTAGTGATATGGAATACAACATAAAACTTAGGTAGTGATATGGAATACAACATAAAACATAAGTAGCGATATGGAATATAACAAAACTTAGGTAGGGATATGGAATATAACATAAAACTTAGGTAGTGATATGGAATATAACATAAAACATAGGTAGTGATATGGAACATAACATAAAACGTTGGTAGTGATATGGAATATAACATAAAACATAGGTAGTGATATGGAACATAACATAAAACATAGGTAGTGATATGGAACATAACATAAAACATAGGTAGTGATATGGAATGTAACATAAAACATGGGTAGTGATATGGAATATAACATAAAACATAAGTAGTGATATGGAACGTAACATAAAACATAGGTAGCGATATGGAATGTAACATAAAACATGGGTAGTGATATGGAATATAACATAAAACATAAGTAGTGATATGGAATGTAACATCAATTTCCACATGTTCATAGTAGGTCATAATATGGATTGTGGTCTAATTGTCTTGTGTTGAACATGAAGTACCACACTGTGACTAATGTTAATTTGGAAGTGTTGTTAACTTACATGAAGTACCACACTGTGACTGATGTTTAGTTTGGAAGTGTTGTTAACTTACATTAAGTACCACACTGTGACTGATGTTTAGTTTGGAAGTGTTGTTAACTTACATGAAGTACCACACTGTGACTGATGTTTAGTTTCGAAGTGTTGTTAACTTACATGAAGTACCACACTGTGACTGATGTTTAGTTTCGAAGTGTTGTTAACTTACATGAAGTACCACACCATGACTGATGTTTAGTTTGGAAGTGTTGTTAACTTACATTAAGTACCACACTGTGACTGATGTTTAGTTTGGAAGTGTTGTTAACTTACATGAAGTACCACACTGTGACTGATGTTTAGTTTCGAAGTGTTGTTAACTTACATGAAGTACCACACTGTGACTAATGTTCATGCTGTGACTGATGTTTAGCTTGGAAGTGTTGTTAACTTACATGAAGTACCACACTGTGACTAATGTTCACGCTGTGACTGATGTTTAGTTTGGAAGTGTTGTTAACTTACATGAAGTACCACACTGTGACTAATGTTCACGCTGTGACTGATGTTTAGTTTGGAAGTGTTGTTAACTTACATAAAGTACCACACTGTGACTAATGTTCACGCTGTGACTGATGTTTAGCTTGGAAGTGTTGTTAACTTACATGAAGTACCACACTGTGACCGATATGTTCACGCTGTAACTGATATGTGGAACTTGGAGAAATTTGTTATGTTTATAAATAAAATCTGCATCAAGCCAAAAGTCAACGATTATTATTATTATTATAAAATTTTATTTCTTACCTAATAAACATATTTGTGGTTTGTTAGTAGCAATCTACCAGTTTGTACGTTTTTTCCTTTTACTATTGTCTTACAACTTTGTGTCAATAACTATTATTAGAATTTTTATATTTTACCTGACAGATGTGTTCATGATCTGTAAGTAGCAGTTTTTACTGTATAATTTTTATTATGTATTTGAAAGATTTTTCTGTATTATGTTCGTAACTGTCCATCAAATAGTTTCTTGATGTTATATATTTTTCAATATTTGGTTTTTATCCACTATTTCACAAGAAAAGATAAGTCACTATGAATTGATTAAAATTATGGTTTATTAGGTTTACATCTCATGGTGAAAGAGTATTTGGAACGTGAACTACACAAACCACTCAGTCGTCCTTCGCTCCCAAAGAAACGTCCAAAGAGAAAACTGAGTATGATCCGTAGCAGACGTTCGGGAATCTCTGGAATCATTAAGCGCACGCGATCCATCCAGGTGGACCAGTATGATCCAGGCAAGTCAAGTATGGAGAATAGTAGGAAAGATGGTGGGTAATATAATTTCATTTACTTGTGATATGCATGGACTGGATTACAGGGCCAGGTGGCACCACTGTGCATGTACTATTATGCCCTGGTTGGCGGTGTGGAGTGGACTGTACCAGAAGCATGAAAGATCAAACGTTTGGTGGGTTAAAATTTAGTTAGCATGCTGCTGTTCTTAAGGAACTTTTTATACATTGATATATTTGAAATATAGTTTCTCTTTAACCCTTTCACTGCCCATTGTACAGTATTATGTCAACATTGACCTCTCATTAAAATAAATTGATAACTCATAAAAGTCTCCAAATCTGAACAGACATTTTGAAATACATGCTTGTTTGTTTATTTGATAAATTTATGAAATATACTGAAGTCAAAACGATAGTGTAACATAAAGTATTCCCCTAACTGCTAGCCAATGAGCTATAGGTTCTGTTTCTGAAGATTCATCAATATCTCTTTCATTCTTACACTATCTATCATATATGCTAGATTATTGTTTATTAGACAAAATGATTAATTGTTCGATAAAGATATATTTAGATATAGTTTATATCTTTGCACACCACTGTTTGTTTTTTTATCTGTTTCATTCTAACAAACATACAAAAAATTAGAACAGGCCTTATCATACAGGAAGAAAGATGTGAGTAGTTATTATAAGTAATACATTGTGCATTAGCCGATTTTATTAAAAGAAATAGTGCAATAGAATATATTTTGAAGCATTAAAACTAATACATATATACAGTATTTATATTATTCTATCTTATATGTAAAACATATCTTTGTCCTGTGCAACTGTTTCAAGTAGTAGAGATTAGCGTACATAGTGAGGCATCTGCTTTATGCTATTTACCCTTTCACGGATTTCTTAACTACAAACGATTACCTTCTTCTTTAGGTGTCAAAATACCATAGTAAAAATTTCTATGTGCAGACATTAGTCTACAGAAGCAACAACTTGAACAACACAAACACACAAGGAAACCTAGTAAGTTAATTCATTACACAAATAATATAAAACTGTTAATAGCTTACATTACTTTACATTACACAGGGCATTCCAAGCTTCATGATGTACTAACAAAAGAGATTTGAAATGTCCATTCCACTATTAAGAAGAAGAGATTGTGAGAAAGAAAATATTCTTAAGTTTCAGATGATATATCTGTGATTTTGATAACTTTGGAAACATGAATGTTATAATAAAAACTGTGTGTTTTGTTGAATTTTACAGTTCTTGACATCACAAACTTCAAAAATTCACTGTTTCTAAACAACCTTAATTAAGTAAACTTCTAATTTGTTCTAAATCTACACATTTTTAGCTTTGTTTCATCTTTTTTTTGTTTATAATTTGGATTAAGTGATTTATGGAACACAGACATTTCTCTTAATTCAAGTTTACAAAAGTAGCCAAACACATAAAAATAATTTTAAGTATAAAAAGTATCAATAAACTATAAATAATTTCATTTAATCTTGATATATTGACAGTTTTCTTTCAATCAGCCACTAAAGACCAGATTTTGAACCGAGCCAGACTAACCTATCAAGGTTGGATCCAAATATCATTTGAAAATTAATTATTCCAAATACTGAGGGTTAAAAAATGACAAAGTGATTAATTAGTTTTTGAAAGTAATCTTTTCTTCAACTTAAAAATATCCATGCTGTGAAAGTAGAAACAAAAGAACATGTTGTTGTAAAGAAAATAGAAATAGATAACATGTTGTTGTAAAGAAAGTAGAAACAAAAGAACAAGTTGTTGTAAAGAAAGTAGAAATAATAGATAACATGTTGTTGTAAAGAAAATAGAAATATTAGATAACATGTTGTTGTAAAGAAAGTAGAATGAATAGATAACATATTGTTGTAAAGAAAGTAGAAATAATAGATAACATGTTGTTGTAAAGAAAATAGAAATATTAGATAACATGTTGTTGTAAAGAAAGTAGAATGAATAGATAACATTGTTGTAAAGAAAGTAGAAATAATAGATAACGTTGTTGTAAAGAAAGTAGAGACAAAAGAACACGTTGTTGTAAAGAAAGTAGAATGAATAGATAACGTTGTTGTAAAGAAAGTAGAATGAATAGATAACATGTTGTTGTAAAGAAAGTAGAAAATGGACAACATATTGTAGATATATAATTGAACTAAAGGAAACGTGATCTAAAACTTAAATGTATACAACAGATTTATATGTGTGTGTGTGTGTGTTTAACATTTTTGTATCTAACAATGTTATTTATGTTCATGTATGTGTCTTGTTTAACGTTGTACAGTAGCCCAATTGTAAGATATTTTTGCTATGTACAAGCACAGAATTTACAACTTTCAGCATCATTTTGCCTGATAAATACTAATATTTTGTTTGTTTGTTTGGCCATATTTTCTAACTTGCGATACCAGTTTCATAAAGCATTTATACTTTTAATAAATTTATCTTCCAGAAATGTATATTTAAATATTTTTCTTTGCTGTCTTATACATTTCTTACGTCCATAAAAGTACTTAGTCTTATGTTTCTCTTGAAAGGTGATAGAACTTGTTCATTTACACAAACTTAGAATATTTTTTAATTATATTATGACTTTAATGGTGAAGTTCCACAGTTTAGAACAGTAGATTCATTTCTTAATGTACCACATACTTTCAATTTGTAATTCATCAGATTGAATAACTACAATCGTGTCTTTATCTTTGAGTGTTCGTTTTAGTGGATGTTTCTATTTCACTTACTTTAGCCGTACTACTGTGCTGTTTATTGGCTATTTCTTAAGCTTTACTACTCACTTCTGAAGCTGTGCTGTTTATTGACTATTTCATAAGCTTTACTACTGACTGCTTCGAAGCTGTGCTAATTATTGACTGTTTCTTAAGCTTTACTACTGACTTCTGAAGCTGTGCTGCCTTTGACTGTTTCTTATGCTTTACTACTGACTTCTGAAGCTGTGTTATTTGTTAACTGTTTCTTAAGCCTTTTTACTAACTTCTGAAGTTGTGCTACTTTTTAAATGTTTCTTAAGCTTTACTACTGACTTTGAAGTTGTGCTATTTATTGACTATTTCTTAAGCTTTACTACTGACTGCTTTGAAGCTGTGCTAATTATTGACTGTTTCTTATGCTTTACTACTGACTTCTGAAGATGTGCTGCCTTTGACTGTTTCTTATGCTTTACTACTGACTTCTGAAGCTGTGCAACTTGTTAACTGTTTCTTATGCTTTACTACTGACTTCTGAAGCTGTGCAACTTGTTAACTGTTTCTTATGCTTTACTACTGACTTCTGAAGCTGTGCAACTTGTTAACTGTTTCTTATGCTTTACTACAAACTTCTGAAGCTGTGCTACTTGTTACCTCTTTATTATGCTTTACTACTGACTTCTGAAGCTGTACTATTTGTTAACTGTTTCTTAAGCCTTTTTACTGACTGCTTTGAACCTGTGCTACTTATTAACTGTTTCTTCTGTTTTACTACTGACTTCTGAAACTGTGCTACTTGTTACCCATTTCTTATGCTTTACTACTGACTTCTAAAGCTGTGCTATTTGTTAACTGTTTCTTAAGCCTTTTTTACTGACTGCTTTGAAGCTGTGCTACTTATTGACTGTTTCATATGCTTTACTACTGATTTCTGAAGCTGTGCTATTAATTGACTGTTTGTTAAGCCTTACTGCTGTCTGTTTTAGATATCTGTTATGGATCGTTTATTTTTCTTATTACTGTCTGTTTTAGATCTATGTTACTGACTGACTGTTTCTTATCCTAACTACTGTCTGTCTTAGATCTATGTTACTGATTGACTGTTTCTTATCCATACTGCTTACTGTCTGTTTTAGATCTATGTTACCAACTGACTGTTTCTTATCCTTACTACTGTCTGTCTTAGATCTATGTTACTGATTGACTATTTCTTATCCATACTGCTTACTGTCTGTTTTAGATCTATGTTACTGACTGACTGTTTCTTATCCATACTGCTTACTGTCTGTTTTAGATCTATGTTACTGACTGACTGTTTCTTATCCTAACTACTGTCTGTCTTAGATCTATGTTACTGACTGACTGTTTCTTATCCATACTGCTTACTGTCTGTTTTAGATCTATGTTACTGACTGACTGTTTCTTATCCTA